GAACTCCTCGTCGTCGACGCTCGACGCGGCCCGAACCGTAACACCCAGGTATCCGTTCTTCGATCCGTCTCTGGTCTCGCTGTGGAAACAAGCACCGTGTCTCGGTGATCTGATGTAACCCCCTTCTACTCTGCCGTGAAACCGCATAGGCCGTGTGTATCGCTTCGATTACACCAGAACGGTTGAGCGTCGCCGAGCGGTCCCAACGTCTGGCTCTGGATCCCGTAGCGCGCACTTGCTGCCTGCATTTTCTCGCGCGCGATTCGTTCGCCGATCGCGCTGCTGATCGAATCTCCCGAGCCCCCTGGATTCTTGGATCTCGATCTGCCACGATCCCCCATCGACCGTCTCCGATCAGGACCACAGACGCTTTTTTCTCTGGGCCCGGGTTCTCTAGGAATCGAGGAAGAGGTCCCATCAACGATTCGTCCAAAACAGGATTTATCGTTCAGTGAAGTTTGATCGGGAATCCCAGTGAATACGTCTCGGTACTGTATTTCGAAGCTGCAATTTGGTGCCAGTACGAGCCAGTGTTTGCTTGTTAACGAGGGCAAAACTCGGGAATTTGAAAGATTAAGTGACTCGAGAAGGCACTGCATTCCGAAGGAAACCTTTTGGAGAAAGAAAGCTCGAGGGACTGTCAGGAGTATCTACGTTTTCTCCTGCCTCCGAGTCCTGGGATTTGTGGATATGGAAGTTATGAAAGATCGTTCATTCGGAAGAGAATTTGTTGCTTGGTAAAGTTTGAGCAGAAATTTTAGTGGCATGTACCTCTGAAGCCCTCGTGATCCTTTAATGAGTTGGTTAAGCGACTCGAAGGTACTACGATATTTAAAAGCTTTTCGGACCAAACTCGAACACCTACCAGGATCATCGACGTCTCTTTCCTGTTTCTGGATCGTGGAATTCATGAACAGCCGAGCACATGGACGGTCCTCCATCCTAAACAGAATTTATCGCGAAGTTTGAGCAATTCCAGTGATACATATCCCTGACACGTACAAGTCTCGCCAATTTTGTAGCTCGTTGATTTTTTACTGCGTGAACGAGACGTGCTATCTATGTTCGAGTGTTTGCTTGTTAACGTTGATGAAATTGAGAGGTTAAGTGACTCGAAGGCTGATAGTGTCGAAAATCGAAAGCTTTCCGAAGAAGGATAGCTCCAAGTCTAGTCACCGGAGAAAGCAATTACGTTTTGCACCGTTCGGCGAGACACTCCATTCCCCGATTAATCAATTACTCGTCCCGAGGAACGAAGGAATTTCTCGTCGGAACTGGTTTAAGTGGCATCTTCGACGCGCATTAGTATCCCTAATATGCTACTGTTACAGAATACAATTTCGCGTACAACTCGAAGAGATTAATGTTTTCATTGCAACAGGACCCCCCGAGTTCGCGGAGTAAGTCAAAGCGTTCGCGTCGTCGTTTCTCGTGAACTGATAAAGCGATACGTGCACTCACGGCCGATTGAGATAAAAGTACGGAGCTCTCGAGAAAAGAAAAATATTTATATTCGTCTCGTAGACCGACGTTGGTGCCCGCGTTATCAGCGCTCCGAGTGATTCGTGATCAATTAAGGTACGAAAATCGCTCGTGCCCGCGAAAAAGTTTTCAAGTGAAAGTGCTTTCGTATCGTCGCCGGTGCCGCTGCATTCCGTGCGTTCGATTCCCAAGTGCATTCGTGATTAATTAAGATCAGCGAAAAGTGATCTGGCACGGTCGGAGGGATCCTGAAGGATGCCCACGGCTGATACGTGACTTCTGGTGCAAAAATTAAAATCGTGATTTACCAATCTAGTCGCATTGACTTTAAGATTATCTTACGGAGCGGTGGCCGAAAGCGGGGACAGGTTTTTCGCTCGCAAGATTAGTTTACCGTTCGTCATTTACGAGCTCATTCAGTGGTATGATAATATTATCTTGGCCCGATAAGGCTCCCGAGTAAGTGAAATCCGAAATCCTGGACAGAGTCTTTCGATAAACGAGTTTTTAAAAGGAGTTACTTTGATAATCGTTTGAGAATAGAGAGTCGAATCGAAACGTAATAAGAAAAGGCCGATTTGGAGTACAAGCGGATTTGTTGAACATTTACTATCGTTATTCGCGCAGCGTTGCTGTCGAGTGATGTCAAGTATTGGACAACACTGGGTCGGCTATTATATGGAAACGACACGCGACGCGGCGAGTTTGAAAATAAAAAAAAATTCGGTTTCAAAGTGCAACGTGCCGGCGCTGTGTTTTCCAGTTCGCGTTTCGCCAAAGTGGCATCGGTGATACTACGTCGCGCATGAAACACAATCGATTTGACGAAGTCCTTGTTATGGATATCCGCGCGTTCGTTCAACGGGAATATTTTCTCGAGTGGAATTGTGTGGATGGCATCGAGGGAAGCATTTTCAAACCTTTGCAGGAGTAAGTACTTGTTGCGATCCTTACCGTAACTCGAATTGTGTATAAGTTACGGGAGAATTTTTTGAACTGGACACGTTGAGTATATATTATTGTTTACTGAAACGGTACTTATATCGATCAATGATAGAAACATGAGTTGCATTCATGTTTGCACAAGCATTTCATGGCCAAATTGATACTCGAGCGTGCATTAACACAAATCATATTTAAACCTAGTCTTCTCTAATTCTAATACATCAATTCCCTAAACTAAATTCAACTTTTAACTTGAATAATAAAAGTACATCGATCATCGAACAACATCCTCCGTTTAATTTTCTTCATTGTGATCGAAATTTGTTGCTACAACAGTATTGCCATTACTACCAGTACTATCAGAGCTGAACAAATATCTTTTACAGTGTCTTATCTTGTTAATTTGTACAGATTTACACGTTTATTCCAACATTACACCGAAATGAACCCAATCGTAAGATCTAAAAGTTTAATAAAAACAATTAAGGATACACTTGTACCAGATTCCACCATTGCTCTAAATTGTGTCCAATACTCCGAGTCCCGTTGTTAATAATGCCAATGTCTAAAGCGCTTCACCTGCCGTAGTCTCCCACTCGAAGTGTAACAGAATCACGATCCGTATTCTCTTGGAGAATGAGTGCAGCTTCGATAACCGTATGAGAAAGTACAATGGAGCATGTTGGTGCCCCGCTATTTATGAATATAATGTTCGATCGTCCCGCGCGGCTCCGAGCCGTTGTTCGAGCGGAAAAGATCTTGATTTTTTATCGATCGGTGAAAGTCGAAGTTCGCTGGTAATCTCTGCGATGCCGGAAGCCCTGTTGCTCCTCGCCGTGGAGGAAAGAAATTGGCATTGTGCTAAGAATGCGCGTACAGGCCTCCTCTAGGCACGGCCCATTACGCTGAAACGACGAACCGTAACTGGTGTCGATAATTTTTGATTCCCATTTCGCAAAAGGCATCCACCGGGGGGATATAAATTGCGCGAAAATCGAGGACGAATCTTGATCCCCGCGATGATAAAGAAACGCATGGAACGAGGGACGAGAAAGTGGCTGGCAGACGAATCGCTTTGCTGCACGAGCAATTTTTATGACCAGCATTCTCGATCTTGAAGAGACGAAGCTCTTTTATTAACAGAAATTGAATTTAAAGTGCTCCCCTTTATACAAGTAAATTAATATATGAGATAGTTACTAAATTATATAAATTTAGTCCATATAGACTGTGAGACTTCGTTAACTTTGTCAATAGACAAATGGGATTATTTTTATAGCGAATTCGATCTTATCCGTTGTTCTGCAAAATTTGCTGTATTTCTTGGAATAGTATTTGCTCTTAAGAAAATATAATACGCTATCAAACGTAATGCTCTTATATTTTTATATAGCTTAATCTAGCGATTAAATTTATCTCTAAAGATTTAGTAAAGAAAGAGTTTTTATTAACATTGTTTGTCTGTCTTTCCAGCTACCAAACGCCTGGTAGCGTTAGGATATACATATGTACATTTGGCCACAAGCGCAATTTAACAATGAATTCAAGTGCTCATTACATTTTAATTTGTTAAAATTTATTTTCTACCAAGTAGCTGTTCAAATACCTTCTCATACATAGTTCTTTACCATTGGTTCAATGAATGATGTTCGCTCGTCATTAGCCAAGGAATTCTGTATAATAAACGAAGCAGTCAATTTTGCCAGCTGTATTAAGACAGATGCGAAAATATTCAAATGAGATTCTCCTTATCGGAACCGCCTAACGAATAACCGATGTATTATCGACGCTCAAATTTTCACAGTCTCAGAATGATTCATAAATTTATAGTCAGTGAAGGTAATACCGATTCGAAAAACGCATCTTCTTTATTTCAGCACGTGGGAACTGTCTATGCTAATCGAATTAGCAATATAAATTTGCTTTCGCAGTAAATTATTTCAAGCTGATCATTAATACGGTATCACGCTCAATCGTGCGTTAAGAATCATTTTATCTTGTCTTCCAAACATTACACTCGATGGTCTACGAATTGCGAATACGTGGCTAGCTAACCTTAATTTATTTGCTTTACTGTCATTCTAATTTTCTTGCTAGGGAGTTCGTATTGATACGAAACTAGAGACCAGCGGTACTTCCTCTGCGTAAAGAATCGAGAAGGAACTCCCAACTCCCTATTCAGAATCGATTCGAGTGTTTCCTTAAACGAACGAGAAATGCACATACTGCCATGACATTCGAATTGCCCCCTGAATCGGCTCGAAGCAGCGTCGAATCCTCGATGTTCCCTTCGAGGAGCGCAAAAGTTTTCTCGCGAGACAGTAAACGTTCAAGATCCGCGGTATTCGATCTGCTCTCCCTTCTCGAAGCCGCGAAGAGGGATGTTCCTCATCGCGGGCATCCACTGGCTTTCCAAAAGACACGACGTATAAATACCACGTCGTTTCGGACCCTCTCTTCCCCCTCTGCCCCGTTCTCCCTCTCTCTTCGCTCTGGTAGCACGGAGTCTATTTAGATAATCTTCCGCTTAGCGGGAGCTGCACTCGGTGCGGCAAGGGAGCCTCTTCTTCGCGAAGGCTTTCACCAAGGTGGCATCATATTCCTGATCCGCGAACCGACCGCGTTTCCACGCGCCTAAGCTTCGTCCACGCCATCGGTGCCAGTGCTCGATAGAACTTTTTGGCGAACGCCACGCCCGGGTGTCACCCAGAAACGTTCGCGTTTCGCGGCTTCGTCGGGCTTACCACGACACGCGACCTTGGGCCAGAGGCCTCGAGGACATCGTCGGTACCGGTGCTCGTGCGACGTCAAGATCTACGACGAGCTCGCCGTGCAAGAATCGCGTCGTCGTTGAGCGGGGGACACTCGTTCGCTCGAATCTCGTCGCAACGGCATGCGGCTGTCTCGATCAATCGGTAAGCAAACCAGCATGTTCACGAAGATTCGGTGATTGGCTCAATCTTGTTCGATAAACGACGAATGAAAGCGTCGCGCATACCGTGATTTGCGTATAGGAGCGTGGAGTGCTGGTGCCAAGATGATGAACACCATTCACGGTTGGAAGCCATTGAGCTGTTATTTAAATTGAAACGATTTGGACTAGGTCATACGATATATACAGGTCTCTAGTTTGTAAATTTCATGTATATTCGTAGCTCACTACTTTATTGTCTGTAAATTCGATGTATATGCATAGCGTACTACTTTATTGTTTCGACATTTTGGGAACTCTTCAGGGGATGATTCAGAAAGTACAATTGTACGCGTATAGTCTGTAATTAATGAAATATACTTTTATGAAATTTGTATAAAACGTAGAGACAGATTAATATTCACATATATATAATGAACTCAGCAATTCAATAAAATGCGTGGAAACCTCTTGAAATTAAATCATTGAGTAAAGTGAGTTTAGGCAAAAATGTGGTTAACCTATGTACGTAAAAGTCAATATCCAACTGATAACATTAACGAACTATATACATTATTCGTACAACTTGCTTACATTATAACTGTTTCAAAGTGGTTACTCGTGCTCAATATAGCGTTGAAACGTATACACCATACGTATATTTATTTAAACTGATGCTAGTATTGAAGTAAATTTGCTCTCTCGATAAATTATAATAGCGCTTCTCTTGCTAGCCCACGGTTATATTCAATAATAGACATTAAATAACAATATTGTAAACAACTTTTCGTTGTTCTGTGTACTTGATTCATTACGTGTTTGAAAGAGTAAAATTACCGCGAAAGAGGTTTTTAAGTTTCGACGTATGAGTCAGGTCGTTTTCAGAAGAGTGTATAAATACAAACATTAACGAGTTTTGTATCGAAGGGAGGAAGAAAGATCAGTCCTGAAGGAATTACGAAGCATATTGAACCGTTAGCTAGCAAAACTTACTCCACGCTATTCCCATTCTATTTGAGCGTGGCACCACATTCCTCTGATCCCAGGATTGATTTTTATTTCCGTCGACAATAGAGTAGAAACGTTTGTTCTCGATTTATCACAGAAGAATTTCCGTCCGTAGGAAATAGAGAATGAAGCATCATTCCTAGTATAACCAAGAAATAAATCGAGACTCTGTTTTCCAGAAAATGGAATTTGCAAGATCGTAAGTTATGCCCGCATTTAACCGTGTTCTGTTGATTATGATTCCTGCTTGTGCTGTTAAAATTGACGACGACACGATTAGAGATGATACAATAGATTCCATAAGGCATCTATTTATAGGTGCTTGCACTATCGTTCATAAGTTTCACAACATTTGTTAGGTGTAAAATTATTCCGATGGAGTATCAATTTCTTTAGCAATTGGAACATTATTTATCAAGAGAAGTGTCCAAAAGTCATTGGTGGTATAATGATAAATTGTACGAAAAAGATGAAGATAAAATAGTAATGAAACACTACTTAAATGATATTTCGAAAAATATTAGTTTTATAGCAAACATTGCCCTATCAAGGATTAGAAACCTCAAGATTCCTGTCTTTATACAGTTTATCATCTCTACCCAAACCTTAATTAAAACGTGTACTGTTGCTCAAAGCGAGCAAATAAGACGATATGGGAAATTTATTATGCACTCGATTCCATTTCTCTTATTCCTGCTTGCATTTCCAACGAATCAAATCACCTATCTTTCCAATATAAGTATCAATCGTGCAATGACTAACAAACACAGTTATCGAGATCTGATTACATTTTTTCACTGAAAGGCGCACGTTAACTAGATAGTACAGTCGCGAATAATTTATGTCGATCGATAAGTACAGTTTATCGATGACAAATAATCTACCATTTCACGATAATCGAGTGTCTCTGAGAATGAGGATAACAATCGATGGGTAAAGTCGAGGCACGCGAGACTTTCATCTCGCATGTGTTCATTGTTTATCATTGAGTACAATTGCCTTGCTACGTGTGCAGTCGCACAATCGCGCAGATGTTCCCGACAATTAAAAGTGATTGACGCGAATCTGCCCGATTCTCGAATCGTCGCGACAAATTAGGGCCGTATAAAGCGAGCTAGGGGCGAACGACGGGCATGTCGGTGTTAAAAGGTTACAACATGTCCTCTATCTTTAGAACCGTTTCCCCGAAAAGAGAGCTTCGAGAGTACGGAAGGGTTCGCATTTTTAGGTGGAAGAACGCGAAGGTGGTACGTCACTATCAAAATTTTATTATATTATTTTTAATAGTCTATTCGTGGGTAAGATGACTTACGTCGAACTTTTTCTTACCAAAATATTCATTAATTATATCTCTTTTTCTTATAAGTCACGTCAGGTCAAGTTTGGTTTAACTTTATTTATTTATTTATCATTTGCTCCTGGAGATTTGCTGTATCTTGGTTGTTGTTGAATATATTTATATATTAAATTCAATCCTTGCAATGTAAACTTATGCTTTGTTTTGAATTAAAATATACATTTGTATCTTGAACAAATATTCTTGAATTTCGGCTATAACTGCGTGTACTTCCTTGAAGCAACACAAATTAAATTTTCAAAATAATGAAATATAATCGAAACAATGAGCAGTCACACGTTATTGTAGACAAAAGAACACCTTTAATTTTCAGTGGGGTGCTACGAAGTTGCCTCAAAGTCGCTGGATGTCCATAGCGAAGAAATTCTTGGTCTACGAAAGGTTAAGTCGGTCTTGACCGAAAAAAGAAATTGGCGAAAGAGTCTGCGGACGCATCTCAGCGTGTCGCAGCAGCTTATCGTTTCGCAAATAAACCCAACGACATCCTCTGGCACATTACGATGACAAAGCATCGCGCATGTTTATCGGTTGTTTGCACCGAGGCGCGTTGCGTCTACCGTGCAAATAACGTCGCCGGAACGGAATGCGGTTGCCACTTTTTCTTCGGCGCTTTCCTTATCCGCATCGCGGCTCGATGTGCCAAGAAAGACGGTTCTCCAAAAGATCGGGATTTAAAATTAGACGCGACAAACGTCTTCGTCTCAGAGCAATAATCTTTGTCATCGAATCCGTTTTAGCGTGGCAGAGACTCCCGTAGAGGCAGGTTTCGTGATATTCCTGAGAATTTCAGCTGGCCAGTGTTCTTTTCGCCGGTATTTCATTCCGTGCACGTTTTTGCTCTTCGTGGGGGTGAAGGAACCAGTGGTTGACCACTCGAAGAATGCCTTCGCTAGGTAATTACTCTATTGTATTTATTCATTGTAGAGATTCGTGTTCTGGGTGCTTTAAATTGTAAGGGAACTGGCAAGGCAACTTTCCAGAGGTGTAACGTGTAAGAAGAGTTATCTCGTTAGTAAGTGATCATTGGCCAGTTGTTGATCATTTTCTTATCATTGTTGCCAGAAGAAAGTTTGATGATAGGTATATGTAATTGAATCAGTGGAAGTTCAGAGGTTAAAGATCGGAGATTCTTAAAAGACCTATACTTTGTTTATGTATACTATTCCGAATTAAAACTTAATCTATTGATGATGGTTCAAACGCTGAGAATAAAGTTTAATAAACTTGCTCTTGAAACGAGTGTCCAAAATTACCTATAACACTCACACTTAAACCTAAATTCCTTGAAAGATGCTTAAAGAACGATCGATTTCCTAGAAAATCGACTGAAAATCAAACATCTCCACATTACGCGCAATATTCACCAAATTCTCCGTATATTTTCCACGTGCCAGATCACTTTAGACGCAGGAACATTTCTTCGATCGTCGTTGAATCATCCAAATCCGGCGTTGCGATTCTCAACGAAAATCATGGCAGGCAAATTGCCAATAAACGAGTGGATCGGCGTTCCACCTGCATATAAGAAGTTCTAGTCATTTCTCGCGTACGTCTCACGTCGACCACTTTTACGCCTTTATAAGACCTATTTCGAGAACAGCTTGCCTATGTGCTCTTGTTCATTGAACGTCGCACAAAAATAATTTGTCAATGACAGTGACCTCCTCAATTAAGTACAGAACTGTCACTACGGAACAAGGAACAAAAAAAGGAATGACATTGGTAATTTCATATTAGAATTACGTAAAGGAATTTATATTACTATCGTAACAAGTTTTACAAAAATAAAGAAAAGCGATGTTACGACTGTACATGTAGTCAAATGAATATTCCTTTTTTTTGTTTTAATCTCCTACGGGCCGAATTCTTTTTTCTGCAAACAGTTTGCAAGAGATTAGTTTGATATTTCAGGTTGATGATGCCGCCATCGATATTCCTACTACTTTATTGATATTATTTGGTAAATTAATACCATTTGAACCTCGATATAATAGCACGTGATCTGATGAATATGATTACAGTTTGAGGTAAGGAGGATTGGAAACAATCAATTGCAGACGTTTATAGAAACAAAAATACACATGCATGCTCACTGAGACTATTTTAAAACCTGTCAAGTAATTTTACAAACAAACGAGCAGGATGAATTAAAAATTTTCCGATCTCCTTCGACGAGTACCGGGCAAAAAATTCTATCTGGATAGGAATTTTACCCATCCCCAGCTCGCAAGTATTGGTCCGATTTTCCATGGGAGCAAGAAGGAAAGGCATTCTCATCCGCGTACAAGATATTCGAAATTCCGCGCCGCGGCGTCGCGTTCTGAATTTAATTAATTCGGCGCTGTCGCGCGATTCCGATGGCACGTGCCGACATAAACCAAGATGAAAACTTAGAATCCGACGTGTGCGCCTCGCGGAATTCGAGAATATCGCGGGTGTCGCTTCGCGGAACGAAAAGAAAGCGAAAGAAAACACCCTCGACAGTATCCCGTCGCGCACCAGGCGTCGTTGGTTTCTTCGTCTTCTTTTCAATCGCGCTGCGACCCTGGCACAAGTTCAATTCGTTCTGGCCTATCGGACTCGCTGAAAGAGACGGCGTTTTCCGTGTGTCAATCAACTATTTTCTCGAGAGGAATCGTATCGGCCGTGTGCGGATTTATAACGAGCCACTCGTAGAAAAATTTGCATTTCCATTCGCGTTTCTTCTTTCAATCCGCGTCGTGATAATAGGACATTTCTATATGTATAATTTACATTTCAGGTTACCTACCCTCTATTTACTATCAAATTATATTTGGCTTTTGAACGATATCTTACTATCGTCGAACATCAATAGTGAGATACCATCAGCTGCTTCAGAGAATGAAATAGGTATAGTGTTTAATCATCACCTACCAATTTAAAATGCACGATGGCAGAAGTTCTTAGCATTAGGACAGATTTAAAAAATTCTTTTAGAATCCTACAACGATGCATCGAAATATTTCTTGCTAATCCAAACCTGTTTCGCGGCTGTTCATAAATTGTACACGCGACCAGCTCGAAAGTGATTTGCATACACGAAAAAGAACGTTATTTTTGTATACGGGTAATGCAACGAAATGAATTTTATCGCCGCATAAATCTCGACCCTACATCGAACGCCATGTAACACGCACTCTGTACAACAGAATTTAGGCAGTGAAGCAATCTAATCCTCGCTCTCGTGGTAGTAATAAAATATAAACTAACTGGATCCAATTTCGACACCAACCCAGTCATCGCCACTATCAATTTATTCCACGAGTATTAACAGTTTGGTACTAGCATTATTTTCTTTTGTTTGTAGACTATGTACTTAGAAATTTATCGATATTATCAACATTGCAGCGATTGCTTTGGACGTGATAAAAAAGGAAATTTAAGACGTAAATTTAGCAATATTTCATAAAATTTTCTATTATTGTTCAAAGTAAAAAAGTCAAGATCAAAATATGTATCGATGGAATAATTACTTCAATTTAATTTTCAAAAATAATGTTACTTTCTTCTGTACGACGAAGCTAACTTTGCAACCGAAGAATACATCGTGGGTGGAAAGTTTATAATCTTCATTATTTCGAGATCGATGATAGACTCTTCGCGTTAATGCCTCTTTGCTACGAAGATGCACGAACCACTTTAACTTCCGATATAGCTAGCCTTCAGCATTCGGAAATAGAAAAGACATACACGGATATTTATAAACTCTCAATATTTGCAACTATAAAGCCTCCATCGCGATCATGTTTAGATGAAAGCTAGGTTTTTGGAGGTTTGCGCGAAAAACGTACTAAAATATTTACATTCTAACGCATTCGTAAGTAAAATATTAATAATGTAATGTTTATCCAATTTAAAAATTAAAGCAGAGAATATTTATCGTTTTTCTGGATTTTCGGGAAATTAACGAAGGAACGTGAATAATTCAATTTCCATTTTTTACTCTGTCGTTTGATATGCAAATTCCTGCAAAATTTCAAAGCGATGTCCCATTGCGAACGATCGCGTTTATAATATTCATCTTTTTGCGGACAAGCGAATGGAAATGGCTTGTACGTTCCAAGCCTTTTTTCATCGAATTGCTTTTGCCTCTTTTATGAAAATTAATTCTGATATTAATTACAACGTTCCCATTTAAGAGCACATTTTCTTGTCTGTTTCATTGTCAGCGAAATGCTTTCCTTTTTTGTTTAGATTCAATCAGTGACACCCAAGTCGGATGTAACGGTTCGATGACGTCAATTTCCGGTCGACTCTTATACTACAGCAGATGCGTTTAAACTTCGTAATTAATTTCTGTAAAAAAAACTCCTTGGTGTCTGAATGTAATTTAATTTTAATTTAAAGTTGCTGATAAAGAAGATCTAAAATCGAGAAACATATTCAAAATATCATTTTATTAATATTCAACGAAACATTATAATAAATCTACATGATGAAATAATTACAAAACTACCACTATGTTGTTCGTTTTCAAATGAGACACATAATTCAACAGTAATCGAATAAAACAAAATATTCGTTTGATACATTCTCGCGAAATATAAAAAAAATATGCGTCATTTTAATCACACTCCAGGAATGAAAAATGATAAATCTTCGATCTCTATGAACGACGCGAATTTTCTATACCGATAGACATTAAATCATAGAGAAAGCTAACGGAAAAGAAATATGTAATTCCACGTTCGGAAAGTATCACTCGTGAAACCGAATCGTTACTATAAATTTTTACTACCGGGAACAAATCTGACTAAAATGCCTTGGTCATGCGAAGTCACGCACGCACGCACGACGATTGCTCTTTGAATTCCTGCGAACGTTTGCGCATTCCCTGATAACCGTTGGGAACAATTTTATTTATTTACAGTGTGTCGTCCGTTGGTGAATGAAATTCTCGAGAATTCGCGCGAGAGTTCCATTAAAGTTCGTCGAAAATTTATCGCTCGCGCGCGTTACAAGTTACTAAAAGCTTTAAGGCTATTTTATAGACCAACGTCAATCTACGAAGATAAACGCATTCGCGATATCTGACGTGTGATCGAAGTGGACCTGTAATCGCGATATTTTCGAAATTAAATTGTTGAGTTACGTTAACGATACGTGTAATTTATGGCAGCGAAGGGTGTAGCAATTAAGATATTGATGCAAATTCGATGAAGAAGAGTGCTCATTCCGTAGGTATTGAAATTATAATAGTTGTCATGCTGTAAATGGTAAGGAGGAAGATGTGTGTAGCGATTTACGACGTTAGAAATATTTTATAGATAATTGGGTCGTTATTTAATTTTTTGAAATTATTCTTAGTGATTGGTCATTGTCAAACATGTACGAGTGGTTCAGGATGTTGAATTGTGACGGGAATATTCCAACTAATAATGGAGATTGATTAATTCGAGTTAAATTGTTCAGACAAAAGTAGCGTTTATAAGAAACCAGTGAAACAGTGAAACAGTGAAACCATGCATTTTGATAGCAGTGTATCATTTCTTTCGGTAATTATAAACATATAGCTTGAAACGTGGTTGTACAGTAAGAATGATAATAGAGCCTTTTTATTAGCCTGAATTGAATAGGATGAATCTTGTAATAAAGGTTACAGCCATCCTATGACACAAGCTTGAATGTCTCTCTTTACACAGCCGAGCGAAATAATTGAACCTCATCTAAATTACAACGCCACATTAAACAATGTTATTCGCTTTACAATTATCAGTCCATTCATCAAAATTTAAATGCAGCTTATAATTCCGCAAATTCCCAACGTTAAATAAACACCAGCCAGACGACGCAACAGGTGATTCAACGAGCTTGAAAACGAAAGACTTGCCACGTTGAACTGCGTCGACGCACAACGTACATACAACAATCATTTTTCGCGGGTTATCGCGTTACAAAAAGAAAAATAATTTCGCGAACCACGAGAGTAAAACATTACAGGGTGCTTTAAAGATATATAAACAAATGTACATCTACAACTTCATCAATTTCTAGGTTGATTAAAGAGATGTAAAGAATCGAAGAGATCATGGCTCTAGACCTGGTTGAAACTTCAAGAAAAATATAAATATAGATTAATGTCTTCAAGGTTCTGGAGTAGATCGTCCCTTAAACTTGATCGTTAAGTTGTGTAGGAGTCTAAACGAAAAATAAGGCACGGGGATTCGAGAACCCACGATTCTCGGATCCACAGTCGATCGCTTTACCTACAAGACCAATCCCGTACCCTACGTTTCGTGTTCTTATTTGACTCCTTATTGTTGGGTATGGGAAGCGCGGATACTACAGTTGTAAGGTTGTTGTTAACTTGGAGATACTTGGCTGTTTCTTCTTTGTCGAGTTAAAAGGACAAAGGGTGAAGTTTATTGTCCCTTGATGATGGTACATAATCTGCATTGTGTCTTTGTGCAGGGTGAAGGGAGGATGAAGAATGCCCCGCGTCGGTGGAGACGGGGGTGGCGGGCCGGAAAAGGCAGGAGGGAGTGGATTCGGAGGATGGCTAGGGGGTGCTGCGAGAGCCATGACTGGGGCAACTGTCGGTGGTGGATACGTCGTGCTGGGTGGCACCAGATACGGTCTGCGACTTTCTCAGGTAAGAAGTTTACCCTTTTTTTCTATATATTTAACCTGCTGTCTACCCTTTCATCGCCCCTCTAAATCCTGTTAAGAGTGGCTTTGAGAAAGGACTGGGTAAACAATGATTTCCTCCTGGGACCCTGAATGTGACAAGGGGATGGGATTACAACCTGTCATTATTACTTATATTTCTTCGTCAAATACTGTATCGTTCTTGCAAATTTACAATCACCTACAATTTGATTTTATTTTATGGATACGCGTGCATGTCTTCTTATTTTATTGTTCTTAAATTTTAGTAACGATTTAAATAGAATAAAATAGTTATACAGTTTTATAAAAATTTGTACTCTATGTCACTAAATCTTACATTAAATTGCAGTTAAACTCGGTATAAATGACTAGCCATCGTCATTTAATAGCTAAGATTAGTTTATGCACGTCAGCCACAAGTATATTTTAAGCTGAGTTCCATTCGAAGAGCATTCGCCCAGTTCCTAACCTTTTCCATGAATCTAGGTCACGTCACACTAATCCCCATCACTTTGCCGTAATTATTACCGTAATTGTCTACAGTTGAACAGTTTCAATTTGCTTATTACGGTTCTCATTCTCAGTATAGGTCGGTCTACGTTCTCTTCTTTCCCCTTCCAACTGTCTTTCACTAGCTTCTTCATCTAAAGTAACCATCTTAATTAATCCCAGGACATACTTTGATTTCTTTGGAGGACGAGTCATTAAATTTATAAAATTTTCATTCTTCAGGACTGTTAGATGAAATTCTTCTCCTGATATTTCATCAGCTTGTTCAAAGTACTATTTCTTTATTATACAATACACACAATTTACACTCACAAATGTTACGACACAGACTCGCGTACCGATGCTGCTCTTACGATAAATTACCGTCCGTAACGGCTAGTTGAGGTTCGATGCATGGGACCAATGTGTAGGTGTGATTTACCGAGATTGTTGCACGCGAAGGTTGCAACAGGATACTTAGTATAGTTACACGATAACAATTGAATGTAAGTAGCGTAAATCGAGAATGATGAGGGTGTCCGTTGGTGCAGTGTGTCGTCTTTGTTGAATGAATGATCGATGTGTTCCAACAGTCTCCTATGGCTGCACTCTTAACGTCGTCATTAGTTTGTTGCGGTTGGTGGAGGTACACCGACAGGGAAAAGCTAGGTGTGGCGGTGTATCATTGGCGATTGAAATTTAACTTCGATAGGAAGGCTGGAAATAGATCCTGAAAATAGACAACGATTGACTGGAAGGTACGAGGTAGCTAGGTAGATTATACTCTTACTTTCTGTACTGCTACTAACGATGAAGACTTAACTGTGGGAGTTCTGATTCGTAGCAGCTACAGGTAGTTTGTAAAATTGATTGTTTCAGAGGCATGTACTCGTCTAAATAGAAGTAGAATCTCCACAAAAATTTCTTTTTCCATTCACCTGCCACAAAATAATGTAATTCACAGAATTGAAACTATTAGTGTTATCGAGATTTGATCTTCTGAACATCTTCATCACAGAAAGTTCTTTTTACTCACTTCGAACCAAGATCGTCCACACACTCGGAACATGTTATCCGCGTAGCGTGACGCGCGCAATTATGAGGCGAAATTGGCTCGTTATAGGTGATCCAACTTCCTATGTCGGCGCGTCTAAATCCCGCCGAGGTTTAAAAACGTGTCGTCCACACGAATAAGAATTCGAACTCCGTTGGCTGTCGTGACGACCTTCGACGGATTCGCGACATAGCAGTTTCGCATGAGCAAAGTGAAGACGTTGGGAATCCTAAATATAGAGCCGATCGCGCAAATAGAATGCCGCCAGTCAGTGACTCGGGCCGATTTTGAGCCATCTCCCTTTTTCCTTCTCTCTTCCTCTTCCTATTTTTCTGGCTGGCCGTCCTCGCTCAACCGGAATAATATCCACGTTGACATCATACGCACACGTAGCAGCTACGTGAATCCCGTGTGACACATACGGACGAGCCCGCGAACCTCTGCCAAGTCCTTCGATCGCGACAGATCACAGCGCACGCTGATCGGGAGCTGATGATCCGACGCTCGTACTCCGATTTTAGCCACGTAAAGAACATCTTTTAGCTTCAACCCTTTGCATTCTTTGTCCGCTTTGCGACAAATTGTCGACTGTTAGAATATTTTTGTTTCTTTTCACTCTGACGTGAGACGCTGTGGAAACGTAATGGACTATAGCGAGTACGGGTTGATTTTGAGTTCGATAAGAAGGTCTATTAGCCCTTTAGTGTCCTATGTCGAGCGAGACTCGACAAAACTCACAAAATCTAAACAGAAGAACGTACTGAACTGAGAAAATCTAAACGAAAGAATTTGGATACTTAATAAGTGGCTACGCAGTTCGATTCGATCCCTTATCGTTTGAATATCATTGTTTTTATATCAACTGCTTCACTCGTTTGTTTTATCGATCAGCTGAAAGCTAGGATTTATGCACATCAGAATTCAATTGCGGAGCGAAATTGAGGAACTGAAACTACTCGATCCTGAGTTTCTTGGACAGCGAAAATATATTCTTACGAAATTATTATGATTCGAGAGGTAGAGGTATTTCGTTATCTTCACATTTCCATGCATTTCTGCGTAGTATCGTGTTTCCAGCGGCGGAGCGTAAAACGCGGTGTCAGAGCGAGGATCGAAACAGACATTTCAGAACGTATCTCGCTATCTCGGAAGGATTTCGAGAAAGGAGATTAGATGGTTCTACTTTCCAGCATATCCTCTATATACGTCGTGTTGCATACACAAGAGTCGGAGATCTATTTCAGAGGAGTTTATCTCAAGCCCGTTCGTGGGAAGAAACAGCGTCACCTTACCTCAACGCCATTGTCTCCTCTTGGATCCTCTTTACCGCAATCGTTCCCGCACACGTTCGAGTTGGGCCGTGTAAAAGGACGTGAATAATGATTTAAGCTTGGACGCTGACATTTTAGTAGCTTGAAAAGATTTGATGGAGGAAGTTTCTTTCTTCCGTGCTGAAGTTAGAAAGTCATCGTTACTGGAAGTGCTGGCATTTCGATTAAAGAAGGTCGCATTAATTTGTACGAATAAAGGGATTGCAAGTAATAGTTTCTCGAGATATTGACTAGTATAACAAAGTCCAAAGGTTAAGTTGAGATGGAAAAACTTTATTGTAAATTGTAAAATATTAGAGTTGGCTGAGTTAGTAGGAACACAATGGTGTTTTAGGAGAAATTATGTAGACAGTAGGTGGACAAAATGTCCAAGCCTGTTTGTTGTTCCACATTTAATAAACAATGGCGAACTTGGAATTCCACTCGAAGCTAGAGTCAATTAATTATTAATACAGCCACCTAATCAAACTATCAGGAAATAACTGTTGGGATTATTATATAATATCTGGAATGAACTTTTTGATTGATGGCGAAGGGGAAAGATCTAAATTGATAAATTTATTGATCAATGTGACGAGGGCAAGGTGAAATACCTTGTAGATGCAAGTTCTACTTCCTACGTTACGTTTTATGCGGTACCTCAAAAAGCAGTTTGAACCTCTTTGCATACGAAGCCACTTTATGAGCTTTATGGTCTCATTTATTCCGGTGCTTTTATACTATATTTTATGCTATATCAAACAAGAAAGCATACAAACTGATCTGGTATGGACATTCGAAAAGGATGGAGTCTTCCTTTATTGGAAATTGTACATTCGGAATTAAATACGCTCAATATTCAAATCAGTACACCATCTTTCCTTTACGTATTATTTAAATGTTTTTGAAGAACGTACGAGTACCTGAACTCTTGTTTCGCCGAGAAAATTTCAGTATTAGCATATCGTATGAGCAATATTTACAACGTGTCACATTCCTTTTGAGTTGTAAACAACATTCTTTTTTTTCCTTATTCTCAATCTGTGGTGGAACGAAATTTCAAACTTCTCAGTAAGGCATGTTTGGTGGGTACACAGTTGCAAACACAACACCGTGTATACAATTGTAGAGAACTAATTTATTGCTGATTAGGGAAAACGTAACATGACAATGTAGTCGTTCAGCATTTTTTGGGAGTCCGTTTCCGAAGTTAACATGTGTTATCAGTAGAGACAGTCTGTAAATAGCTACCAAAGTCGTGGAGGTATTCAATTTATCAAATATAAAATATTAAATATTAAATATTAACTGTCTGTATGTCATAACTGTTTCTGGAAACATTTATTATTTAAACTCCATATAGTAGAGCCACATCGAAATTTAACAAATTTCGTATGTATGGGTGTGTTTGCACGTACGTCTGGGATTATTTGTATGGGAATTGTGATAATTATTGCCTGATGTTATTCAATTTTTCAATAAATTCTTTCCGTATGAATGCGTGTGTATACGTGTATATGTTTGGCTTCATACTTCAAGAGTGATTCATCAAAACATTATGAAAATTGGTTTGGTGACCTCTCTATATGGGCATCGGTATTCCACTACACCTTCGAAAAAACATGAGAAGTGAACAGACATTGACAAAGGAGGTGTCATATCTTGCATTGTAACGTTGACTTCAATTGAGTTGCTACAACGCAACCCTGCAGCAGTTTTTCAGCTAATTGCAAGTGAAGTTTGTGAATGTATCCATCGCAAACCTATTCGTGGTCTGTTTACAGGAGAGCCTGCCGCCGTCAAACACGAGAGAAGAGTCCCAAGACAGAAGACGGAAGAGAAACTCCCGGGAAAACGACTCGAGGGAAAGACTGACGGAGAAATCCTTGGAAAATCCTGTCCTGGAGCTAAGCTCGAGCATCGCCGATTGTTGTTGCATCGGGCCGCGTTCCCGTCTGCCGTTGCCGCGTTTTCCGCCGTCGACAGCGACGGCAGCGTCGACGACGAGTACGACGACGTGCGGAACAGGCGGAGGAGGAGGTGTAGGTGGAGCTGGAGGTGGCGGTGGCGGAGTAGGTGGACAGACTCCTTTTCCTGGGCCTCCCACGTATTCGAACAGCCGTGCTGCCGGCATGGAACAGCCGGCGACGCTGACGACGCCAACGACGTCGGCGCAACCGTTGGTGAACTCTAATAATAACCGAGGGATGCTGCAAACATCGGTGGGGAACAGCACTGGCCAGCACCATCAACCACAATCGTCCGCAACTCTAACGGCGGCGGTACCGTCGTCCTCGTCGCCATCCTCCTCGACGTCGTTCAACACGTCCACCGTCGTCCCGACGCTGCAGTCTGTCTCGGTGCCGCGACAACTCGCACAGTGGACCAAGCATCAGACGCTGAAGCTGCAGGTATATTCCATCGATCGTTGGATCGTTCCAAGTTACCGTGGATCATTGTCCAATTGGTCTCGACTCGATCGCCTCTCGTGGACGCGCGATTATTATTGCCGATTGGGAATCGTCGCTCGAGTCTGTTCCAATAGGTTGTCGTCGCGGGCCCATTACCTCGACGACTGGGTCTCCCGATCGAATTCATTCTGGAGGATATTTTCGGTGATCCATGGACGGTGGAATCTCACGGAGGTCGTAGAAAAACTGCTGTGATTTCGTAAGAGTGAGTCCGTTGATTGGTATTTGGGACGAAGTGTCTTCGACCTGCGGACGCTTTGTGTCAAAACTCGCGAGGCGGGTTACAAGGTGGTGGCGAGGAGATGTAGTATTTATTAATGGCTGCTGATGGAGGTAAGAGACGTTTCGTAAACGTTGATCGAGGAATACTCGGATGCAATTAGCACGTATCGTGCATATCTTCTGACTTTAATTATGGGAGCAAATAACGAGTCCATTTACTTTCACCATTGTCTTTGATAGGTGTACCAGTTTCTTGGTCACGTGTCTTTTGTATCACGCAGCGATTGTCAGGGGGTTTTGTAGCAGGATACTGACAAGTTTTGACACTTCACATGTTATGATTTTTCTTCCAAGATCCTGTTCCGGTTAATTTTGGAGTAAGAAGTACCGTTAAGAGAAAAAGTTGATCGCGAGAAAGTGACGGGCCTAGAGAATCGGAAACTCGTACATGCGATACGTAGGTGTCTAGTCGAAGAGCGATATTCTATTTTGGTCGTCATCTGTCTTTTCCCTCGCGGGCAGGCACGAGGCAGCGCACGTGAAGCAGCATGGTCGATTCAAAAATTGGTCTGGTCACGAGTGCACGACCTTAAAAATCTGATGAGAATCATAGTAATCCAGAAAATCAGTAAGAAGTAACAAAGGAATCCCGAATACCTAAGACAGTGCAGGACGCTGTAAACGTTAACCTAAATAGTCGATTTTCACAATAATAATGCTATTAATCGTTAGTCCAAGGATGAAATAACTTTTTTTCAAAAGTTTTATCCAGACTCAATCTCTCTAGTTCTTCAGGGTACTCTTTAACGATTACAGTATGTATGGAAAGCTGCCAGTAAAAGAGATTTGATTTGTTTATTTAGAATCCACCAGTAAGATGCGTTTTCATGATATTAATACTGTCAATCATTGGTCCATTTAGTATGAAATCTTTACCAATGGTGAAGTAACCTTTTCGAAAAATTCTGATCGTTTCAGGTCCTCCAGGATACTCTTTAAGGATTATGATACCCGTTGAAAGTAAGGGGGGTTTGATTTGTTTGTTTAGGAGCCAGCAGTGATAGCGGTGGACCGATTGCACAGGTTCCGGTGGAGCGGGGGCGGAGGAGGAAGTGGCAAGAAGTCCTCTTCCGGCCCCCGGAGCGACAAGGCCGAGCGCCTTCGAGAGCTCACCGAAAAACTCAAGGGACCAGCACCGGTACCACCACCCAGAAGACCTTCTCGTGTTCAAGCATCCTCTCCACCTCCCACTGGATACCAGCAATCACCACAAAGCTATCCACAGGTGAGAAGTTCGTTTCTCAATTCATAAACGATGGCTTCTAGATATATCCTCTTTCTATTCTTCCACACTGTTGAGGATCAAACGTGATCACAACGAAAGAACGAATCCTGGCATAGAGAGCTTCATCCATAATCGATCTAAAATCAATAGCGTCGCTCAAATGTTTAACCATCTGCATATCCTTGTTGTCTTTCTCAGAATTTCTACTTCTTCATCGTCCACTCCAAATGCCAGATTCGATTAAAAACTTCAGTTAAGGAATACGATAATTTCCTTGTTTACTTTGCTATGTAAATTATCCTCGCGACCACAAGAACCTCAGCACCCCGGAACTCGGTAAATTGCTAAACACTATTATGAACTGAGATTCTGGGACAGTTATTCCACTGGATCCCACCAGCTGTCTCTTAATATGATCACTGTGCATGACTCTAGCACGGGTCATAGTATTATGCTATTAGATACACCGCTGGGAGACTGGACAGTGACCAAGCGACCATGTTAATCCTGTGCGTGCCATAATCAGATATAAAATTCTACTCAAATTGTTCTCTACTCAAAATTCTACTCAATGTTCTACTCGAATTCTCTACCATGAGTCTCGCGCGTTGTTATAGGTTAAAGAGTTTTTGTTTCAATCCATCTTCGTAACATATCGTAGTAGCGATCAGACTTCTTTTGGTTCTAAGTATCCCATCTTTATGCTTTATTGAAAAAGTCCTAATATTCACTAGGAAATCGTATTTCTTCTCAGGCAACCAATCCAGGATGCGGTCGCTGCGACGGTCGGCCTACCTGTCGAAGCTTTTCGCACAGCGATGGCCACAGCCCGAGCAACCAGCATCCCCAGCAACATCACCTGAAGACGATAGGTCGGAGTGAGAGTGTGGGTGATGAGTGTTACAGTGAGTCGAGGAAGCCCTTCTCCGATTCGCGGAGATTCTCGCGATCGGGCAGGCAACACGACAGGAGCAGTGGTGACGTAAGTGACATAAAAAACGAACTGAACGCCAGTGCGGACGGGCCTAAACACCTGAGACAGTACAGTGATTCGGTGGTGGATAGTGCTACATGTGTGGACGACTTGTGCGATAATCTGAACGCTGCCACGGGCGGCGTCAACGAGGGAGAGGCGAGGGACGCGGTCACCAGGTTGGAACCCAGAGGGCCTCTTCTTACCTTTCACAGGGCTGGTGCGCCGTACAGGAGCGCCTCCTTTGGCCAGGTGGACTTTAATCAAGGTAATCTTGCTATATCTAGCGGACAAGGTTCGAGTAAGCATAGTTTAATCCTCTTCTCCTACGGTCGGATCAAATGCGACCATCTTGTCTTTAAATAAAATTTTGGGCTAATGAAATTTCTTTTTATGTAATCGTATACGAGGGCCATCTTTTAAGTAATCTTGAAGCATAAAAAAAGTCAAATCGAGGCTTTTTTACTTAGCAAGAAATATAATACATAATCGAACAGGGACAAACTTATAACTGTTAACAGTAGAAAGCTGAGGAAGAGTGAGGGTACTCGTAGATAGTCAAAGCAAGTATCAGCATTTCCCACAGTCCAATTGGCTTGGATTTTTAAAATTTGGAAAAATTACTTATTCGTGGAAATTTGATGTCATTCACAATCCACGTTGTTGTGGTCGAAACTCAGGTACAGTGGTGAATCCTCGGATCTCTGGCGAAGCCAAATGCAATATTGGCAAAGGCGACGATGCCATTTTTCAAAAAAGTCACTACTTACACTCGGAAGCACATAATATATCCAACATTCACCAGAACTATTTAAAAGACGTGTAAAAATTCTACAAACTTTTAAATATCGTTTGTCTTGCGCTGCTACATTCCGAGTTCATTTGCAAAGGAAAAGGCGAGCTTACCAGCAACTCGAACTATGGTATCATTGAAAATTTTATTTACGACTATCGTGCTCGATATCTGAATTCATTGCTACGAATAGTCGTAAACGAAACAGTAGGGGCCATTTAAATAGGCGTAACAGCGAGAATGGAAGCGCGACCCTAAGAACAGTTACTCCAAAGCATTCATTGTACTTTGTTTCCGTGTTTATCTTTTCGGGTCTTCACCTGCTCGAAACTGGTTCTGCTAGTCATTCACCGTAGAAGGCTCTGTTTCACTTCTTCGGCAAGTGTTCCACAGATTCGAGGAATATTCACGTCTGATCGCTGCGAAAATTTCGATACTATTCAACGAGTTGAGATTAACGTATCTTTATTATGGAAAGGAGTACTTACAAGTTGCTAAATATTTAGGCTAATATTTATTTTCTTCCGAGACATTTTAGTTACAAATTCCAGAAGGGTTAAAATCATTACTTACATGAAATATCTATGAAATTGATATATAGATATATCAATTTATAAATATATAGATTCTCATAGATATGTAAATATTTCTATACTTGAAATATTTATAATTTCTTAATTTTTTAATTTTTCGGATATGTATTCAAAATTAATCGTAAAAATTGGACGACGTGATTACTAAATTGAATCTCATACAACTCGTTTGCTCTTTGTGATAAAAAGAGATGAACCATTTCTATTTGTCAATTTCAAAGTGAAAAGAAAAATCGGAAACGTGGTATCAACGTTACATAATGGAGCGACATGAACTCCAGTTCTTTTCGTTTCAGGGCTGCGTGAAAAAATAATCGTTTGCAACGAACGCGGAAATTTGGACGGGAAAACATTGTCAATTAATTATATGATTTGTATACGGTACGTGTACTTGTAAATATTGGCCAGCGTCGGCTGTGCGCGGGAATGCAGACTCCGGCGGCATGGCGGATCGCCAAATAAACACTACCCATTATGTCTATTATTACATTCATGTAGGTGTCGGTTTGTATAACATAGATAGGGACAATCTAAATCCGTGAAAGCGGCGGTATCTCGCGAAATTCTTATTATTGGGAAATTTATCAAAATCGTTACCATTTACGGCCATTTCTAACTTAAATATAATCAGAACGAAGAAAAGACAGAGGTTTCTGTAACAACGGTCTATTCCCATTTGTCGAAAAAGCTTTATTTCTAGAGAATTACATGTCCCCGTACTTCTTCGGCAAGTGTTATTGCTTCCACAGATTCGAGGAATATTCATTTCTGATCGCTGCAAAAATTGTAATGCTATTCAATGAGTTGAGATTATCATATATTTCTCATGGAAAATAGTGCTTACAAGTAGCTAAAATATGTAGACTAATATTTATTTTCTTCCTGGACATTTTAGTTAAAAATTCCAGAAAAATGAAATGATTACTTGCATGAAATACGTACAAAAAGTTTATTTAACATTAAATTTTTCTATCTGTTTAATAAACATATTAAATGCCTTCGTCTACTTTACAAATACTTTCTTTATTTCCGTCAGTTTCTGCAAATTTCCTAGAACCTCGAGGGTAGTTTCCGCCTCCTCGAACACGAATATCAACATACAACAAAGTATACATGTATCGTGTTCCGTAGTTCCATCCGCGTACGAAGTTCTATAAAAATCGGCGTGTTACAGTTGGAAGACGTTCCCCGCAAGATAGGGACAATCTAAATCCGCGAAAGCAACGGTATCTCGCGAAACTCTTGTTATTGAGAAACTTGAGTTGGAGAGTATTTTTTTTCCTTTTCCTTTCCTCTCGTTTCTTTCTCACACCGCCACCGCGAATACGCGAGAATGCTTTCTAAGTTTCACGCGCGTCAAAGAGGCATGACGTCCTAAATTCGTTGACGCGTTGGGCGCGTATTTTATTTCGCGAATTCCAGTCCAATAATTTTCGAGGGTACCGAACGCACGCTTTTCCGTCACGAGACATCCCGTCGATCAACGCTAAGCCCGTTGTCGCGCTTTATCTTCGCCCCGCGAGGCCAACGTGAAATTTTCTTTCTTCGTTCGCCACCTCGCGCTGAAGACGCACCGCGGTTTACAAATCCTGCTCGTCCCAACCCGTCTGGCAACGAAGCTGCTGGCAACGTTGTTGCAAAACTTTCCTGCCGTTATATAGTTTCGAACGTATCAAATCTTATCGCTTTTAATATGCCAAAACTTTTAACTGAGAAAATATCGAAGCGGAACTGTGTCCATGTTTGCCAATTTTCACGTAAAATTTGAAAAAAGATGCGATCCATCGAGGCACCGTATATATGAAGATGTCTTCATAGCAAATTTCATAATCTTTTGGTAAAGTAGTCCTGAAATATGAAGCAGATGCCAGCATACATACAGATTTTTGGTTTAATTCAATGGATTATTATGTATAGAAATTATCATTCCTTTCGTGATTAGCAGATAAACTATTACTTCCCTGACTCCTAGTTTCACAGGATCGGTAAATATACGCCCTGTATTAATTATGAAATATAACATTCAGTATGAATATGGAGACATTTGCGATTATTGAGTATATCATAAATTTCCTGATCACTTGAAAAATGTCTCGTTATTAAAATACTGATTATGTTTGACGTCTACTTGAAAAACAATGGCCAGTTTACTCGAAGATGTACAAATAACGATCGCTCCTAACGGTCCAGATTTTTCGTCACGCCTCAGTGGCAACGTAACATTGACTTTCGTCTAGGTGTATAGCTCTAACCCTGAACTACATACATACCGTGGCAGATTCGGTTTCATAATAAAGGACTTGAAATAAGAGAGATACCAGACACTGTTTTCTGTGACCTTAAAAGTAATGCATTTGTGTCCCTGGCCTGAATAAGCTTATTGTGTACTTAGGTAACCGCTTAGGGGGTCTGCTTGTTTTGACGATCTAAAAATTGAGCGATGTTTCAGATTTATTTTTGTGGCAACTATAAAATATGCGACGTATATTTAAGCTCTTCCAATTTACGTACATTTTTTTAGCGATAATCAGTAAAATAGAAAATATTTTTAAGAAGCTTAGGATCTAATCAAACGAATCACTCTGATTAGATAATGTGTGCTAATAACATTCACAGAGTAAACTAAATTTTCTGATAGTATGTGCAGTGTCGAATAACATCATTTTTACATTTGGATAATCTCTACAGGATAATGCTTTTAAGTCTTGGGTCTTTAAGAAAATGAGCAAAAAATGATTTTATCCAGTATGATAACCAGTAGAAACGCGAGGATAAGATATACATGATCTGTCGTTCGATATTTGTAAAAACGATTATGAAATGATATCGTAACGAGAATGTAAAAAGTCTCTTATCGTTACTTATCGTTCAGTATCGAGATTATCACCAATACTATTGCCTATATCAAAATTTCATCCGTTGCTATTTACTTTTTACTTTTTAATTTTTAATTTTCTGCAGGTGGGCTTGCCTGGAAATTTTCTATCATAAAGATAGTTGTAAACAGAATCAGTATTTATTAATTAGAAAACAGTATATATACACATTAAGAATATTGACGAAAGTGTGCAGTTTTTATTCTTAACATTATATAAACAACACTTGTGTCAATATCGATAAACAATGATCGTTAATTAAAAAAAATAGCAAATTCGTTTATATTCGATATGAAATTTTCCAGCTCGTGTGAGTCATTTAATAAAATCCTTTTCATTTTCATATTTATCTTTAAAAGTACAAACTGTATCCACAATATTATGACATTCCTCGCGACACGCTCCGCTGTATTACAAATGGGACGATATGTCAAACCGAGAAATAATAAACGTACATGGTCGAAACGACTGGAACGAAATGAACAACAAATCAAGCAATTAAAAAGAAACTGATTACAGTTTCAGCAAAATGTTGACCAAAATACCACATTGGCAGTTCCGGGGGCGTTACGTTTCTTACCAGCCTAACCAGCCAATTTGCGCGGGAAAGAAAGAAAACCGAAAAACGAGATCGCCGATTTCTCAATGTGTAACAAGGCCGAAAGCGTGAAACGCGACGAATCGCGTGCGTGGCGCAAGCCGGAAACGCTTCGCGCTAACGCGCCAACAAATCTCTCGCGGGACACCTTTTATGCGCGAAAGACGGTTTACGAGGACGGGTAACTAGGTATCTTCTGAAATACAGCTGCCGCTACGATCCTCGACTATTAACCGTCGGGTGAACGCCGCGCGTCGGACGGAATGGGATCGAGTGAAAGCGGCTGATATAATAGATTTTCCTTTATCCGTCTATCGCGAATTGAGGAAAAAATGCGTTCGCGATGACAGTGATTACGATCACGAGGTTGATGGTAATAATGCTGGCTGGGGCAACGATCGCATAAGGAAATTGGTTATGGTTCTGGCGGACGATGAGGAACGAATCGTGCATTGAGAAATGCTAGTAATGTTCCGTTCAGGTACAAATTAAATTTGTTCCTTTCGAATTAGAATCTGATTTTACGGATGTTTCGAAAGTTGGGGAATGGATCGACACGATATAATTGGAGAATAATTGGAGAATTATTTACTCGTTTGAGGTTATCATATATTTTTGATAAGTTTAATGGTAAACCAATTTAAGTTAAGATCAATTGGATTATCAATTTGGGCATCTTGAAAGTGACAGTCAAAGTAGACAAATGACGTATAGTAACAAGGCAACTAAAGTTGATGAAAATAAATTTTAAAAGAGAGTAATTATGTATCATTTTATTTTCTGTCGTTATTCGTTTTTTGCTTCGACTGATAAACGTCTTTCTTGGCACTGTAAAGAGTGGCTGGACTGTGAACACGCCACGTTTTTCATCCTATAACCTTTTTGTGCGCTTGTAATTGCGCACTTACGCACTCCGTAATTTTTCGTTTTTCAACATTTATGTGCTTGAGAAGTGTTCCCTTTGGTAGTCCGCGAGTTAAATTAACGGATGTGTGTTTTACTGCGGAGGCAGTATTTACCCAGCGGTTAATTTGACGTTCAATTATGACCACCATAATTGCAGCGGGGCTCGCGAACGTGGAATTCGTTTATAATCGTCTGCTATGATTTATAGCATGCGTCATAATTAAGGCGATCGAACTTGTACGCTTTTCCACTTTCCCGTAAATCGAAAGGAATATCGATGCTGGATCTGAACCAGAAAATCTCTGGAGAACCAGTTGAAAAGTGAACGTACATATTTCTGATGAGAAACAGGATGAAGTAGAAAGCAAAAGATTTAGAATTTGTTTGAAAACGAGTTTGGCATGTGATGACATTCAAATAATTTTATTAAAGACCTTTTGATTGTGATTTGTTTCGATATCTGAGATTGTTCAATTATAAATACAATAAAGAAATTATTTCTTATTAATATTCTTGGTTCTCTTATTGAAAGGTACCATAAACCGTAAGACTGGAATTTAACTTGATGACATTTAGATGGTCACAGGTCACTATACTACGAGAACTCACAATTTCTTTGAGGGGATGTTTTCACCCCTAGCTTAGCTCATTCGTTGTTGGAATGAAAATTGATCAGCGCTATTAGAACTGCGTCTCTGAAAAGTTTTGAATCTTCTTGCATTTTCGTGATTGCTGAACATCCCTCGTGAGTTTGTCTCTCGTTCAGTCGGTTAGGCGAAATTCGGCCAAGACGACATGCTGTCGATTTGGAGCGTCACCGAGATTTTCGTTCCCGTTCCCACTCGCACACTCCGCTTGTTATTATTGGAATGGTCCACCTCCTCGTGTTGAGAGGGCTGCCAAACTTACCTAACACTCGTGGAGGTAATTAGAACTTCCTCTCTCTTTCCCGCGTGGTCTCGCTCACGGTGGCCTTGTAACCACTGGTACAAGAACACTCGAGGTACTATTAAAAATAGGGAGAGTACACGTTCCACGAATGTGTATTTTTTTTTTGCGTTTCGAGGTATGCCGTGATAGACAGTTCGATTAAAAAATTGAAGATTCAGCGTTGCAGAAGGATGTCGGGAAACGGACAGATTCCATGGATGTTTTTTTTCGATCTCGGTTTTTTATCTACCCTTTAACCGAGGAACGCGTGTACTCTGCTTCGACGGAACAAATAGTAATTAGTAAAAATATTTAATAAAAGAGTAATTTGCCCTGTAGCTTTCTTTCAGAAAGAGAGACTTCTTCAAGAGTTTTAGTAAGTCGTGATATTATTGGCAAAGGAATTCATTATGCGATTAAATAAGCGTTTTTTAAGAAACACACTGTCATAGTAAATTAGTGCTGACTATTTTACTATACTACAATTTTCGTTTAAAAGAAATTCTCTAATTTTAGAAAGAATATGTGTAAACTTACACTGATCGAACTAATTTGCGATAGATACAATTGTATAATTCGCCTAATCTTTAGGTTACCCTTAGACAAGGCAACTTTATTCTAATCTAAGCAAATAATTCTATTGCGCAGGAAGGTGAATAATGCTTTTAAGACATTATTTCATTTTTTTAATTTAGATTTAAATTTTAATTCAAAAAGTAAGGAAGAAATCATTTTCCATATTTCATTCGCTATTCAAATTTTTGTATCTAAATAAGAATTTTTCCTATCTCTGTCCGTACTGTTATCGTTGCCATGATGTGGATATATCATTGGTACGCCATCGCACACGGTGTCCCGCAATTTGTAATAGGAGGAGACGATTCTGGTCCAGAAATAAGTCGAAAATGTGGAAGAAAATTTATTTGTACGAGGTTTCATTTTCAAAAGAGTCAGTTACGAAGATTGACAGGTCAGAACCACAATCTTGTATTATTGAGTAAACCAATTTATATCTGGCGTCCTATATATAGCCGATGTCCGAAAATATTCATAGAAACTTCACATTCGCAGCAGATGTATCGATATCGCGCGTGTACCTATTTATTATATTATATGTAGATACTTGCCAAGTTTGTTAATATTTTCGTATATGTATCTCGCACAGAATCTTTGGGTACAAATCTTTCAGCACGAACGAAATTAAACCTTCCCAGTTCTAATAAATAAATGATCTTCTACGTTTCATAAGAATGATCTTGTACGTTACATAAGAATGATCCTACTTCTAAATATTGTACTTCTGTTTGAGGACGTATTAAATTGATTTTCGGGCTCTTTGAGCCTAAATCTATTTCCCTCCTTAATTTAAAGAAAACGAATTATACATATCACCCTACTTCTGTTTGCAGCCAATAGACAAAAGGTTCAACCGTTAGCGACATCGAATCGTACAGAGAGCAAGGATGTTCGCGCCAGCACGTTGCCACGAAGACGAGGGGATGTCAGTCCAGTTGTCTCGACGCCGCAGAACAGCCCCAGTCGTCAGAGCCCGCGAACATCGACGCCCAGCGTCGACAGCGCCGTCGGTTCCGCTGAAGGCCTGGGCGTACCGCAGACCGGAAACCTCGAAGAGATCCGACCGAGAAGCGATGGTTCTGATAGTCTGGCGACGTCCAGTGCCCTCACCAGCCCAGAACCACCGGTTCCCGAGATCAACGAGCCCAGAGTGGATCTGGTGCAGCCTGACGCACTTCCCATCGAGATCCTCGCGTCCGAACCCGTCTATCCTCTCGTTGACAACGCGGCAATCGAAGAAACCGTACAGAAAGGTTCGTCCATCTTCTTTGGCACGGGTAAAAGATTAATATCCAAAACAATTTTTATTTCTTGGGATAAGAACTATTAATGGTATCTTGTTTTTTCTAAAAGATCGTATTGTGAAAAAAGAAATTAATTTCCATAGAGGTACGAAATCGTTAGCCCACAGGACACGAATTTGTAAATTGCTCGTTGCTTATAGCAACAGTTTGTTATTTATCCGATTTCGTCAGTAGAAATTGGCAACATAATATTACTAACTCCGACATCCTCGCAGCTTGTAATTTTAATTTAACGACTTAATCCGTGCCAGAATCACACCTTCCGTGTTCTCCGTTCTCGGTGCACCTGACGTTCTACGAATCCGATCGTGACTCGCATCGTAATAGGTCGTTTCGCTCCGCACGTAAGATTCAACGACCCGTGCTCTTAATTATCGGATATTCGTTGACACGTTTATCGAAGCATCGACTGGCAGAGATTAGGAATCGCTCGTTGAAAGTGGGCTCGTGTCGGCGTGATACATTAGGATCGAATCGAACCGGATGGGGTGGCCAAATATTTTCGTCTGTCCACCAGCGGGCAAGGAAAGAAGGACTATTTCGGGTGCATCGACAGGAGTACGGTGGCATAAAGGTGTAACCAAGTTTCCACTTTATTTCGCGCCCGCTCTATTTTCGGAACGTCGGGTGCCAGATACGAAATAGAGGTTTCAGCGTCACGGAGTTATAGCCGTCTTCATTGATGACTTCACGCCCAGCTCGTGGCTGGAGCCCGCTAATCACAATAAATGCTAGCCCACGGTGATCTGTTGACCTATGACGGCAACTGTTCGCCCAGCTTGCTTTCGTTTCCGTCGTTTCTCGATCGGTGGCAAGAGAGTTATATACATTGGGAACAGTTGGACCAAGTGGATAGCAATCTCATTTTCTCGTATCTTTTCGCGCTTCCGATTTTCTCTTTCGTTCCCATCTTTTGGTTGTTTTTTTTTTTTTTTTCAACTTTCAATCGTGAAAGGACGAAATACCTGGCGGTACAGAAATTAAGCACTTGGGATAAATCGTATATAAAATTAGAAAATTTTGTCCATCCTGAGTGCAAAATTACTTTGCGTACGATCCGCTAAGCTTTTGCTGAGGAGTACAAAGTAACTTCTTCTTGTACGCATACAATTGTAATTTTACAAATAGAGGTACTAGAGACACGAGTGCAACTGGGGCAAACTGAAATTAATAATACTGTGCATTCGATTGAAGTTATTTCTGAAAATCGTTACAAGGATGTTGAGCAATATTTTTTAATATACCAATCAATCATGCGTAAATCGATTCTGAGAACTGGAACAGCTTGCAGCTCTTTTTCACGTGAAACTGAAAAAAATGTATAGAGGAAAAGGTTACGGAGCACAATTAAAGTGACCTTTCCCACCCTGGATTCCTTTTCATCGAGTCGTATAATTTTATTTCATGGAAAGTTGAAATGATTTTTCTGGTTTGTTTCATTAGAATTTTAAAATGCGTAAAATGGTATATGAATTTTTTTACTTGTTGTTCTGTAGAATCTTCTGTGATTGTCCTAGGTTTCTCTCAAAAGAACGTTTATTCTGTTAATTGGTCTATTCACTTTATCTCAAAAGAACACGTTTACGTTAATTACAGACGTTGATTCGATTATCAAATGCATTAAGGAATAAACATGTTTCGAAGATCAAGATATATAATTCAATAACTTCTACAATATAAATGAAAAAAAATTAGTTCATCCATACAATCTTATTTAGATTGTATCTTATTACACGGTGCTGTTAAATTTAAAAATGTTCATCACAGAACGATACACACTCTATATTCGAAATGAACATCGTGTCCTTGAAAGATTCAGATCTTTTTTCCTTCGGTGTCTCTAACAATTTGATCGATGATCGTATACGTAACACATGTGTGCAAATATATATTATATATCAAAAAACCGTCGATTTAAAAATATTATATGTATGTATCTCGCTAGCAGGTTTAAAAAAAATGATTTGTTTTGTGTGGCAGAAAATAGGATAGAGCCTCACGAGGTGATAATCACACCCCCACCGGAAGAGCCACGGCTGAGCCAGGCGAGCGAGGGTAGCGAGGCGACTAGTGAGGCGCCCTCGGAAACGTCCTCGCCATCGGGTAAAACGAGAAGGTATCGAGGGGACACCAGCAAAAGAAGAAAGGGTGTGTACATAACCCAATGGCCGGAGCCCTTGGAGACCGACAGGAACAAGCTGTCAGCACAGAGCAGCGAGGAAAGAGACGAGCCACCTGCGACGCCCAGCGACCTCTCCGACTGCGAAGGCCACACGCCTAGAAGGTAACGCGAGAATTATCGCTAATATATCCTAATAGAACGGAAATTAGAGTAGGAACTATTCTTCCACATTAGATTTCCAACGCTTCGATTATTTTCGCACTTTTCTATCATTCAAATTCATAACTTTTTATTCGACATTTTTCCTTAGTTCCTTAAGCTTGTTGACTCGTAGGTGTGTTTAAAATTGGTCGCGTGATTAACGTGGATACTTTATTCGGTAATAAGTGTATCGAACTAGTCTGCTTGATTTATAAACTAAATAATAAGACACAATACAATATCTTACGTACGCCTATATACTACGGTTTATGTGGATACAACTATTCTGCTAGAGTTTCGGTTTGTTTTATAATTTTTCTTAAAGAAGTGGAGCAAAATGTCCTCACATGAATAACCAATTAATTTTCATTTCTGTTCCTCTGACATATCACTAATAAGGGAAGAATTGCCTTCTAAAATATTCGTTTGGTGAAATCTGTTTCGAGTGTAATCGCAGCTATTGTCATTGAAATTTATTCTAATTTGTGCAGGTATAGTAAAAGGCCTCTGCGCGGTCCTTACGGGCAAATGCTCGAGGCTGAAATGGCGAAGCCGAGAACCACCGACATAGCTCTCGAGGAAGGTCTACGTCCGCGCAGAAAAGTTTCCGCGAATCTCTCGTACAACACAAGCTCAAATAACAGCGGTTCAGAGCCGCCCACGCCCTGCCACCATAGAACCACTTCCAGCCCGAGCAAACTCGAAGGTCTTCCGGGACCAAGTCCTGAACTGCTCGCGGAACTACTTCGAGGATCTTCGGAGAGGGTGGCACGTGCACCGGTGCATCGGAACGTGAGTACTGAATTTAATATTATAGTAGTTAGAGAGATAACGACTGAAAGTGGGGGAGCAAGCCAAGGGGAATGAAGGACCGAGATGTTGAGTGGGAGCGAGCTCAGGGAATTGAGAGAGTGAAGCTAAAAAGAAGCACAAGGGCTCGACGGATTTAAATTCTAAATAAATGGAAATTTCTGATGAACATAAATTACTAAAATAATAATATGGTTTTTATAAACTAACCATAAACGAGTTTAGTTTATAAAGTTGGGCTTTCTTAAAAATTTATAAATCCTATCTAATTGAAAACGAATAGTTAACAATTTTTTAAGTTTGATATTATTTAAAAAGTATAGGACAAATTTAATATGAATTTCTGTTACTTTATTCTTTATTTAAATTTAAATTTGTCAAATGTTGCTCTGAGAATGGTAATCATACTTTACGTAAAATGCGAAACAACGAGCTAATCAGTAAAAAAAGGAAGGAGCCTATGCACTCGAGCGAATCAAGAACATGACAGATTGAAGACGGTTATTCACATGAACTAACTTTTTTCTTAGTACCTGCAAACCTTCCCAACAGAGGGTCCTCGTGTTCCAGCTCTCGCAAGCTTCAGGCATTAGTTCTTGCTTCCGACAATTGGTCCTCGTGTTAACAGCTCTTAAGCTGGAAATCGGTGAAACGAGAGAGGAAAATGTCCAAAGAGTCGTTAGACGTAACGCACGACTCCAGACCAGCGGTGTATACGTAATCTAATAATAATGTTCGGCCATATTTCTGAGATGAGTTCGTAGTTTGGCCGGTGCACTCGAGGTTAGCATAGTGTCCCCTTGATTCTGGCACGGCGGGGGCGTTCACGAGGATATTCCTGGTCTTAGGCGTACCTGGGGAACGATCGGCCTCTACCGATGCGAACAAAATCCGCCTGTCTAGCACTGGCATTTTTACGCAACCCGACCTTGCTTGATACATCGACACCAGAGTGTATGCATACTGTGGGAGCGACCCTGCTCGAAACATCATATTTAGGGTCTCAGGAGGGGACGAGGTACGGTCGATGCTCTTTCGTTAATCGAACTTCTCCTCGCGCATCGTGTTCTACAGAGAGTTCTATCGATTTTGTTTTGAACTGTGCCTGTCGAAGTTTAATTTATTTTATTGCACTCTATATTACTAAGCGCCAAGGTCAACATTTTTGGCATTTAGTAGACATTTCCACAAAAGGTCTGTTTTCTCCACAAAATTCACTTTTTCAAAGCAAAACGTTACCTACCAAAAAGAATAATTTTATTAACGCTTCTCAGTTCTTCGAGAAAACGAGATACACTGTGGTGGATAGACTGAGATGAAGCATCGACCCGGACGGGGAACATAAAAATAGATTTGTTCGTTTTAGAAGAAGCATCACGCCTATTTATCCTGATTAGCCTCTTCGCGATACGAGCGAACGGAGGGCACGCGTGAACGGAAATTAGTCACACGAGAAGGAAACGCGGTTTGCACGTTTGAAAGAAAGCAGAACGTTCGTGACGCAGAACTCGAGTGCGAAAACATTCGAGAGAAAACAGTATAGCTGAACAAAGATGGGTAACAGTTTTTCTGAATATAAATTTCGTGTAACGGAAAAAAATTGAAGATCGGTAGTTTGTTATATGTTAACATGTTGATTGCCAGATTATTACGCGAAGAATGGGTCTAGCGGGATAAGGATAGGCAATCGGCCCCTACCCCAATTTTCATTGCTATTATGTGTCGTGCAATGCTTTTGACCTAATACATCATCCCACAAAGTTCCAGACCATTAACCCTCCGTGTAAGAGTAATATGACTTAATTTTATTATTTTTTTTCTCGGTTACTATTTCAGATGTTTAAATTCTGCAAAAACGAAAATATTTATACCTATAAACTGCATCTCATATATCTTTTTCAGGGTATTTTTTTAATTACTAAGGGTAGAAAATAAATAATTTATTTTTTGCGAGTGATAATTCCGAAGAACCGTGTGAGTGACACCTACCAAAAAAATCAGGAATGATGATCGGAGTCTTAGAACATCGTTAAATAATTAAAAAGAATGAAATGAAGAGTAATTAAAATAATAGCAATGAAAATTGGGTTGGGGACCGATTGACTATCCTTATCCTGCTAGATCCTTTCTGCAAGGCTAAATTGTTATTCCTAGAGAATTGGAAACTACATATATAAATTAATAAATTATTTATCGTGACCTCGCCAAATTTACGAATTCTATTCAGATTTAGTTTCTTTAACACCTTATCTTCAGAATTAATCTTTTTTTGTTCCTCAGAAGTCCTATCACCAGTACGTGGGTGACGGGATGGTCGATCTGTTAAATAAAAATTGGAGTTTGGATCGTGAAATAAAATGATTCGCGATGAATAGATAAAAATTTAATTGATTGCATCGAATAAACGTCACGGATACATCGCTACGCGTTGGTTTTACTGGATATCTATTATTCTAATAAAACTTTGACCACGTCTGCCCCGAGGAAACGGTCGAATGAAACCTTCAACCAGGCGTGCGAAGCTCACTTTTGCCCGAGGTCCAATTTACACTTTCCTGCCATGTCGTGGGCCGAAGGTATACGGTTAGTTTACCGCAGTCAAAAATATTTTAAAGGCCACTTTTCGGTCATACCAACGCTAGTCATCGCGCCGTTATGTCACAAGCGAGCGTGGGAGTGAAAAGACGACAAAAATTTCCTCGGAAATAGGCAAGAGGACACATTTATTTATAATGAAGTGCATAGAATAAAAACTATTTTCCATAAAAAGGCGATGAAACAATAATGCAATTGATTACTATACATATTTATGATCGTTTGTGGATATCAATTCAGATAGAATGTTGATTGCAGTAATTCTTTCAGCGTAATGATTTAAAGACTTGAGTTTTCAAGAAAATGTGAAAAGAAAAAAAAGAATTTAACCACACTTTTGTCAGCTAGAAGAATAGAAATAAAAATAAAAGAAGAACAATAAATGTCACCATACTTCATTCAGTAGAATATTTCTAATATTCGAGTCTCAAAGAAAAATTAATTTTCGTTATCTCTAAATTAACCCAACCCCCTTAAATGGTTCGCAACCTATATTAATTTATACCGCGTCGAAAATCTCGTCGCCACGATATTGCGTAAATTTCGATAAAAGGGAGCCTGTATCGGTTATTTCGGACGTTCAAGTTTATAAAATATTTCAACGCGAGGCTGGTTGGAATTTTTCAGATGTTACGTTCGCGGGGGAAAAAAAGAAAACAGGTTGACATTCCTACGTGAAAATAACGCTTGTCCGCGAGCGCGTGAAAATACGACGCCCAGCGTCATTGCGCGCGGATAGAATTTTTATTCGAAAGATCGCTAAGAAAACATATAAACCAACGGAGACGAAAATAGCGCGCCTACAGATAATCGGGGATATTTTCGGGTGGTTCTTTATCTATCTTCTGATGTCATCGGTTCCGCTCGCTATTGCGTGAATTTCTAGAATTTCATGAATGAATCGCGAAGCTTACAACGCTCGGGGCGTCGTGACGTCGGCGGAGAACGTGACGTTGAATCCCACGTAGGTACCACGTAAAATTTATAGCAGTCTCCCCTCTTCATCATTCGTGACGCTGCGCAGTCACCCAACCAGCTATTTTTTTTCCCTCTAAATTTCGCGCAGCCGAATTTTTGCCATGTCATTCCCTCGACGTGAATATCTAACGAAGGTTTCAAAATTTGTCAAACAGTCATACTCCGACTATTCGAAAAGATGTTCTAATTAATGTATTCTTATTCGAAAGAATTTTTGTAAATGCATGTCGATGATGAATAATTGATAATGTTCTTCCAAATATTGTATTCAAGATTATGTTATAGAATTGAACAATTTTAACACCGGAAAGAGCCATAAATATACACAACATGAAACATGTAGATATATATTTTGAACTCATCTTCAAAACATATTATTGTGAGTTTTACTTCTTTTTTAGTTTCTCTGTAATGTCTTTTTTCCAATACGTATTACAAATAATACGTAAACCATTATGTCGAAGCGGATCTGAATCCTTGGTTGAATCATTTATCAATGAACTGACCTCCTTCACGATTTTACTTCATTTTTGGATACCCGTGCATCGAGTGTTAGGGTATTGAATTTTGACCGTTATCAACTTAATATTATTTATTTTAAAAGACAATTTCTGATATGAACTGCACTCGATATTGTTGTAATTATTATGTGAGTAATGTTTCCACGTTTATCAATCACTTTTTCTCCATCCATATAAACGCGCAAGAATTGATTTAATACTATTTGTGACCACTTGTCAATTCATATGAACGAAGCGCATGAAATGCGAGCTGCATCGAAGGCGTTCAATAAACGGGAATATACTGGTCGAAAATTGGAAGTCTGAGACGATGCCACAACAGAGCAGACTAAACAAACCTCGTCGAAATAAATATGGGCCATAAGGCGCGAAAAAAAAAATTTTTTAAATAATTCACAAGCTCGCGCAATAAACGCGCATTCCCTTTTATTAGAAGGGAAAATCCGACGTTTTTTGCGTCACTTCGTTCGTGACAGTAAAATGAAATTTTTGTCCTTCGACGGATTCTGTGAAATAATAAAATGAGACCTTGTGACGTACGGAAATTAAAAAAATATATGAAAATAAAACGTTGAATCTATTTCTCGTCCAAATAATCGCCAGATCGCGATTTATAGAAAATGTTGAAAGTGTAAGAACCCTTTTATTTCCAAAACTGATTTTATTCTCACTCTAGGATATTAGTTAGCATTCTTTTGTAAACCTAACGTCTGGAAAAAAAAGTAGCGACTTCTATTGTATATTATTTACCATTCGAATAAAATTCGATAAATTTCAACTTTGTCGTTTACGAAACAGTTAAATTCTATTTATAATACGCAATTTCCATGTAAGGATTTATTTGCCGTTTCTGCGTTACATGCAGCGTCAAATGTGTCACGGCGTCAA